CCAAATGAGGAGGCATATAATAGAAGAATGGCAAGATATAGAAAATGGTATCAAAATAAAAGAGAACTCCTTGTTAGTGTAGAGAATTTGTATAACCTTTATTTTAGTCTATCTAAAGAAGTGCGTCTAATGACTGAAACAGAAATCGAGGAAGCTATTGAGGAAGTACTTATAGATGAGTAAATCTAACCGGAGGGTGGCGAATGCCTAATTAATATTCTTGATTCAATATCCATTTAGGTGGATACATAACTTTGCCAACTTTCATCAATTGCTCTTTCACGAATGATCTTTCAGGTCCATAACCATTTTCATCCATAAGCCAGTATAATACTGGCTGATTTTTTTGTATTAGTGATTCCTTAATATGATAAACCTTTGGAGACCAATTCATATCAGTTATACGTCTATTACCAAATTCTAATTCTCCAGGTTCAAGTAAATATAAAACAGAATCTTTATAGGTTAAGCGAGGTTCATCAAACTCAATAGGTCTTCGATGTTTAACCGCAGGATCTGCAATAATTTTTTCACCCTTTAAAGCTCTTTTTATAGCTTCATTGGGAGACATACGAATTAATCGGGTATAAGTATCATTATAAATATCATCATTTAAACGAAGGCCTTTAACCCATGATCGACACCTTTCAGATAAAGGTAAAAAGAAGTCAACCGCATCCTGACGAATATAAGCATGTTTCTCAAATTCTTGGTAATCACGTTCAGCTATTGATGTGCTACGTTTAAATTTAGCTTGTATAATTTTTACGCCATGACTAAGTAATAAATCTCTACACTCACCTAAGTATTCAGCACCTTTATCCACAATTAAAACTTTCGGCCATGTAAGATGATTACCAGAATCCTCATAAATTGCTTTAAACATTTTAGCTAATGATGCAGAAGACTTATTAGTTAAAGCACAACTTTTACGAAATCTAGTTGCTACATCTTTTATAACGCCTCTATGTATGAAAATTCGATTACCAATTTTATCGTGAGAAAGAGGTGTAAGATCTGACTTATGTACTTCATTTAAATCTTGTATGCCATTAAAAGAGGCATATTGAATAAATTTAGGCCTAGGTTTATGATCTAAAAAAGTGATCTGATTATTTAACCAGTTTTTAATATCTGCTAACGAAAAATTATAACCAGCTTTTTTGCAAGCATCTCTCATTTTTTCAGCAGTTCAATAATATCCCTCAGATCGATAGTATAATTTCTGTAAAGCAATCTCCCTATCCAAATCATAGGCCTTCTGTGGATCAATATAAATTACAGGTTTTTCCATTCCTTTCGAGTATTAATAATCCATAAAAAATAACCATGGAAGAATTACGACAAGTTAATCAAGAATTACACGAGAAACTTGAGCAACTGGCACAATCAAATCGGAATTATGAAAGTAAAAAGGATACTCTTGAGAGGCAAATAGCAATACGAGAGGAAAGGATCCGATTCTTAGAAGAAGAGCTTGCAAATACTATAGAACTCTCTAGCCAAGAGAAGGAGGAATTACAGAAAGAAATCTCTGATCTAAAAAAATCCTTATATCAAGTTAGAAAAGAAAATTGGCAAAAAGAGAAAGATAATATTACTAAAGACTATAAATTAGCAGAATTTGATGAACGAGAATCAAAGCTCAAGAGTAGGATTAAAGAACTCACAACTTCTGGAAGAAATTCTCCTCAAACTTATAATCAGTTAACAGAAATGACAGATACGATAGAACAACTACGTAACGAAAATGATAGATTAAGGCAAAACCTTACTGAAAGAAATAACCAAATAGTTAGGCAGAAAAGGCGTATTACCGATCTTCATTGTCAAAATTTTGCTATAAGATTATTACATTATCGCGATAAACATGAGCTTCAAAATATGCGACATGCTTTGCAAACAACCGACGAGACGAATCAAAATTTATATAATATGTTAGAAGTCCCTAGTATGGAAAGAAGTTTTATGTCTGCTTCATCAACAGATGATTCTCATTTACAAACACTGGAATTAGGTCTTGAAGAAGCATCTCAGCCCGGAGAAAGACAAAGCCATTTATACGATGAATTAATGACAATAAATATAACACGAAGCTCAAGTGAAGAATCGCAAAATTTATCAAATTCCTCTGGCAGTAATATATCTGAAGAA